TCTTTGCTCCATAATTGATGAGCTAAACTGTTCATCCCCATTCATAAATATGGAAGTGTTTGTTAAGAATGTTTTTCTTGTCAGATGTGAGTGGTGACTAGGCACAAATTGAGGTTATGCAAAACCCTGTTAGAGCAAAGCCACCTTTGACCTAACTTGATTGCCTCACTGCTACCTTCTGTCTGCCTCTTAGTTTTTGTTTTGTAATGCGCCTGGTCTTTTGTGTGTATGCATGTGTGTGTGTGTTTGTGTGTGTACTTAGCTCCTTGATGTCAGGGTGCTGACTCCAACTAGCTCCTTCTAGAGTCATTTGACTTCCGAATGCTCTTATCATGTGTTCAAGAACTTTCTGTTGTTACATCACTAGTTGATCTTTCTTGAATACTGATTCTGGGGGTTGATCTAATACAATCTGAGATTTTCCAAATATTATTGATTGCTATCCATTTCTATGGGTTCTGAATTAACAATATTCCATTTTGCCTATTGGTCTTGTTGCTTGAAAATACTGGAGAGTGCTTTGCCTCTGGAATATGATATTTCCCTGAACATTCCTTTAGTGGGACATGTACTTTAGTTCCTCGGAGGTGTCTTCCTTTACATCCTGCCTCCATGTTTTTATTTCCCTTACAAAGTCTTACTCCCACAGTGAATTTTCCTCCATTTCCTCCTTCTGGGGTGTGAAACCCTTGCAAAATCAATTACTTTCTTCACTCCTCTAGGATCACATACATATTTCAACCACAAATTTTTGAATAATGGCTTAGAATTGGTCTTCTAGCTTTAGAAATCGTCTGGACAAGACCTCAAGATTTGTGCTTCATTCTCAAATATTGTCCTGGTGTCTTACACAGATTTAGAATGTGTGACATGTCTATTTAATGATGTCGTGTTTAAGGTAATTCTATCAACACAGCCATTTAGTCTATTTGCTTGCTAAATGCAAAGATTCACCTATTGATTCAAGAAATAAGCTGTTCTCTGTTTATCTGTCTTCCCTGAATTCATAGGTTGAAATCCTGACTCCCAGGTGATGCAGGCCAGAAGTGAGGCCCTCAGGGATTATGTCAGAAGCTCCATTGGAACAAAGCCCTGAGCATAATAGAAGAACAGAGCCCAAGTTTTAGAAAGTCTCCAGACAGTAGTCTAACACGTCTGAAGGCTAATTGGATATTTTTTTCTAGAAGCATCTCAGAGTGTTACAAGAAAATAAGAAGCAATGTGGAGTTTGAAAACTCCATATGGAAATGGTAATATCCAAGTACTGCCATGTACACAGGGGACTGCATTCTATGCACAGCTGCACAGGCACCCGGAGAACTCAGGTTGGCTGCTCTGCTGCAGTTGCCTGGACAGAGAAGCCCAGGGAGTTGGCACACAGTGGAGAGTTACCAGCATTCACCATGCACAAAGGCCAAGGAGGGCAACTTTGGAATTCTGACCAAGTCATGGTAATGCTCAGCCAAAAATAAAATTTTGATGAGGAAAACAATCTGTGAATAGCTGTGCTGAGCATTGATAGCTACCTCATCGTATTTGTGCACATTTTCATATACCACATATCTGAAACTCAGGAGGAAGCATGCAGTAATTCTCCAAGTCAGTGATTTCATAAAAATTTACATAAATACTTGGTCAACTTGTATTTAACCTTTATATTGCAAACTACTTAGTACTTTTATGAACAAATAGGTTACATAATCTCCCTGGCCATCAGTTATCCAACCTCACTACTTTCAGATGTTTCCAAAGAATTACACAGGAAAATATTTGCAAGGTATATGTAACTTGGTGTCACATGTCACCTGATGTAGAATGTTTCTTGCCAGTGCCTACTAGTTTTTCCCTCACAAACCGACCAAGTGCACACAACCACATATCTTCATATTTATTTAAAGACTTATAATAAATGTGGACTTCACTCAGCCAAGAATTTCTACGAGTTCTAATATATTATCCCAAACATGATCATTATGTGATTTGTTTTTCTTTTTTTTATTTTAAAGAGAAAAAAATAAAAATATAATAAATCAGAGCTTCAAAATGAGTTACTAAGACAGTTGCAATAATTAATTCACTGCCTGTTGTTTTCTTCATACTAGTTGTTCAGAGTGTAAGATACAAGCCTGATCTCCTCCCCAAACATTAGCACGAACTTTTCTTTTCAATAAAATAAAGAAGCACCCTGCACAGCTGTCTTATCTTGTATATATGTACATATTACTTTCCTTTTTCCTTTCTTCCTTTACCTTTTTCTCCATCATGGTTTGTCTGGTCTGATCTGCATTTTCAAATCAAGGAACTTCCTTTTCACCTGACATAATTCTCAACACATATAAGCCCAGCAACTCTTATCCACATTTGTCAGCAGTATTTTGAATCATTTTAGTTTGTTATGAAGCTAACAGTAAAAGAGTAGACCCAGAGCTTCTATGTTTCTTGGTTCTCACCTGCAATTCTGTCTTCTTTGTCTCTACAGCTGTCTCTAGGACAAGAAGCAGCACACTCTCCCAGAAGATTAATATAAAAGGCCTAAGAATGCAGGTTTTGAAAGGTGTTCTTTGGTCTGATTTTCTAGAACATGCTGAGCTAAACTTTCTAGAGGAACACACCCACTGACCAGTGCCATCTGGGTGTAGACTTAAGCTCCTCCCTCAGAGCTATACATGGAGGTAGGTGGCTTTTCAACTGATGTTTCAGCAAAGAATTTTCATTCTAGGGCTCTACTAAAGCAGCCAGAATGCCCATGCCACAACGTGAGTATTAAGTTGTCTGGAGATTTTATACACCAGTTGTTGTAGTCCATGGTATGGATTGTATCTACATATAAACCTTCATGCGGTCACAAGTGGGGTCTTTTCAAGGTGGATGGATCTGGGATGTGTGCTTCAGGGGTCCAGAATGTGATTCTGGGATAGTATCACAGTGCTGTGCTAGCATGAAGCTGCCCACCATGGGTGCGAGTGCCACCACCCTAGGGCTGGGAAGCCTGCATATGCTGAAGGGAACAGAATAAGGGAGGCTGCTTCTTGCTGCCTGCTTGTAGTTTGCTGCTTGCTGCCTCTGCCTGCCCCAAACTGTTTACCCTCTGCCATTCCTCTCTGCCGTGTCACTACTTTTGAACCAGCCAATTATAAACTGAAGCCTCTAAAAATAAGGAGCCAAATAAACAGTTTCTCTTTTGGGTATTGGGCATATTATCTCAGCAACAGGAGGAAAGTAAAGAAGATAGTAAGCTCAGAAAATCCTTGGGAAACATGCACAATGTAGGCAGTTTCTGCCAGAGTATGGTCAGGCAGATGATTTCTCTGCCAACTGCCATTGGAATCTTTGTTCCCCTGTAGACATCTTAGAGCCTGGCCTTTACTCCCCACACTCTTAAGAGCGCTCTGCTCTCCGTCAGAACCTCCCATCAAGCTCAATGTAGAGCTTGTTGGGCTTGTCTAGCTCACATCTCTTAACATTTCCAAGTGCCTCCTGCAAGTGAGTTCCATTGCTAACCCACAGAGTCAGACACTTTTACAGCAAAGGTCCCAATCTTGGTGCAAATTTAGTGTACTCCTCAGCTTCTGGTGCTGAAACACAGTACCTGACACTCGTGAACTCAAGGAGGGGAGACATCATTTGGTTTAGTTTATGATGTGACTTAACCTAGAGGTGCCTGGCTGTGAGACAGAAGCATCATGGAAGGAGATCATGGTAGAGCACAGCTACTTATTTCATGGCAGCCAAGAGCCAGAGCAGAACAGGGCTCCTGAGGAAGGAATGATAACTAGAGATGAAACAGGACTTACAGAAAAATGAGTTTTCCTGTTAGAAATGCCCTCTTCCCAGCAGCTATAATTCCTTGCTCTGTTACAGGATATCATTTGCTATTATGTGACTGTAAGCAAGGCCTATGACTTGTCATCATCTGTTTTCCTTCAAGAATACAGGTAAAGGTGACAACTGTTTTCCTGGATTCACCATAAGCTGAGTCTTATGACATGCTGAAGTTTGGCTTCTTAGAAGGCCTATCATTGTCTTCCTTCATATAAATCTGTTTCATTGCCTAAAAGTTCTTGATTCAAGATCACACTTACTCCTGGACTATGTGAATGAAACTGGAGCCTTTCCTTTGTCTGATAATCAGCCACTGGGGCCAGAGTCCCCAATGATGCAGGTGTGTCCCTAATAAAATCCTCCTTTCTCTCTATTACTTTCTCTCATATTTGTATCTGCAACAGAGATAGGCACCAAGGAATTTCCTGTGTGACTCAGCCAGTCAGATCCAGATGTGTGTCCTCCTAACCCTCAAGTAGAGTCTAAAGCCCATCAATTGGAAACTACACCACAATCACTCTGCATGCATACAACTGCATGACTTTTTCTTATTTAGCAGCACTATTGCAAAGAAAAAAATCCAATAAAAGCAATGCTACAAAGCTTCAAGTCAAGATTGTGGGAGAGTAGCGCATTGTGTATTGTTACCTTCAAAGTAGCAAAAGTACTTTTTAATAAGGGGGAAAGAAATCATGGAGAAATGGTTTTTAATGACTCGTGTCACCTTGTATAAAATGCTCCATCACAGAAGATATTATAATGAGTGGAACTATCCAAAGAGAGAAAAATCATATGATCCCAATATATCGAATCATCAAAGGATTCAAAGATATAGAGACAGAGAACTAAAGTGTGGTTTAGTCAGAGAGGAGGATGGATGTGAGAAAGGACAGAGATGTAAATCAGAGGATACAAACAGCTGTTATATAGAATGAAAAGGTCTAGTGATCTAATGTGTAAAGTGTTGAAACTGTCATTTATACAAAATGAGGTTTTCAGCCATTGTGGGCTTGAAAAAAATGTGTAGTTATGCAAAATCATATACCACTTAATTTGCATTGTTATAGCAATCGTTTTCCTATCACCATTTATTTCACAACTTCATGCTGTGGGCATTAAGTATGCACAATAAATTTCTCCTAGGTCATATACACCTACAATCATATAATTGTGAGGTATTTAACATGATTTCTTCTCATTTTTATTAGTGCATATTAGTTTACATGTATCATCAGTTTCACTGCCATATTTTCATAGATTAACATGCTTATGAAGCCGGAATGTAAATAAAAGGCTTCTAGTAGAATAATCACTTTGTAATACTTACAGAACTGGCAGGACACTTGGCCCACTGAATAAAGAGATCAGAGAAAAACAAATTATATGCTACTCAAGGATGAAAAGACACCACATCTTGACAATAAGATATATGAGTCAGGAGGTCCTGGAAAAGAATTGAGGCAGCCCCTAGGAGACTAATGGAGGCAATAGGATCCAGAAATACAGAACATGGGACACACACTTTGGCCACTTCAGAAAACTGTGGTGACTTCAGAAAGGTGCAGGCCATGCCAGGAATGCTTGACCTCAAAAGTAATGTGGCTTCAAGAACAAGACATCCCATTGACCATTGGCAGTGTTTCCATAGAGCTAAAACAAAGCCCATCCTTCCCTGCTGCTTATGATTTATATGTTCGGTCTACTTAAGTCACATCACAGCCCTCCAACACTTTCTCATGTTCAGAGACAGCTTCTCAGAGGCATGCAGTTCCACTGGTTCCAGTCACAGGGCATAGGGACATAATTCAGATTGCGACTTATTTTGTGTACAGCTTTGTTGTTTTTGGCAGTATGGCAATACAGGGGGAAGCCAACATTTTCTAGAGTCTGAATCTGGATGTGTGCGAGATAAGATCCAAGGCCCAAGCCCCGGTACTGAGGCACAGTGGCTCCCATTCGCAGCTCTCCAGTGTAGTCCATCAGGACCCAGGTCACAGGAGTCTTCTCAGGCCCCAGCAGACAGAAGGTGGGGAAGGTCCGGATACAGCGCTCGATGAATCTCTGGCTCCTCTCATTACCGCCAAAGGCCCAGAATTTATTCACTAAGGCAGCGTGTGCTACATCCAGCGATGAGAGTTTAAACATCTCTTGATTGCTGCGGAGCAAAAGGAAAAAGAATAGCACATAATGTCAAATACATTGTTTCCCCCAGAAAGCAAATTGAGAAGAAGTAGGAAAACAGCTAATGAGAAAAACTCAGCAGTCATAATCTCACTAACTGTGTGATTTTGGGCAGGTAGCTTAAATCTCTCTACCTCCATTTCTTGTGGTCTAAAATCAGGATACTAATTGCATTTCTGTAAAGGGACAGAAGAAATAAGATCTGTTGCATACAGGCATACCAAGCACCCAGACACACACACAAGAAAAACTCCATTAAACTTAAGTATTATTATCACAGTAGCTTTGTAGTATAATTTCAAGTCAGAGTATAAGATGCCCTCTACCTTGACTTTGTTGCTTAGGATTGATCCATCTTATCTTTGAGAAAAGTTCCAAACACATTCACTGAAACAAAGCCTGTTTAATAAATGGTGCCAGAAAAACTAGCTTCCCTCATGCCGAACATGAAAACTAGACCATATTTCTCTCCATTCACTAAACTGAAATCAAAACGTATCAAAGATGTAAACAAGCAAATAGAAACACTAAACTATTGGAAGAGAAAATAGGTAGGTCTCGTAAAGAAAGAGGTGGAGGCAAAGATTTCATAAACAAAAGCCTGACCACATGGAAAATAATATAAATTGCAGGCAACAGAGATCTCATCCTGTCCTAAAGCTTTGGCACAGTAAAAGAAATCACCAAGAGAATGAAAAGACAGCCCACAGAGAGGGAAAGTACCCTAGCCAATTGTCCCTCAGACAAGGGACTGATATCTAAAACACATACAGAATTAAAAAATATTATATCTTCAAATTTAAAGACGCAATCCAAAAATGGGCACCTGAGATAAATACACATTTTTCAGAGGATGAAATTAAATAGCAGATAAATATATGAAAACATGTTCAAGATCACGGGCCATTCTAGAGATGTAAATTAGTCAACACTGTGATTCCATCTCACCCCAGAAAGAATGGCTATTATTGAGACATCAAGCAGTACCAAATGCTGGAGGGGCTGTGGGGAAAACGGAACCCTTCTGCACCTTTGGTGGGTGTGTAGACAGGTGCAAACACTGTGGAAATCAGTGGGAACATGCCTTAAAATAGTAGAATTAGAGACCCCATTTGAACCATCTCTTCCCATTGTATCTTCAGAAGAATTGAAAACATCATACCACAGTGATATATGTGCACCCATGATTAGAGCAGTACAGTTTGTAATCTTGGAAACAAACCAAATGCCCGTCAACAGAAAAATGACTTTTAAAAAAAGCTATGGGTAAAGCACCCAGAGAACAGTGAAGCAAAAGCAGAAAACCATTTCCATATCCAAAGCTAAAGAACCAATGAGAGGAGCTGCGGCTGTTACAGGCCATCAGAGGAGGCTGATTGGTGCAGAAGAGCATGGAGCAATCTAATGTGACCAGTGAGGTCCAGTGGAAGTTACAGCTACTGAGGAAGACAGTGACATGAGGACTCACAGCCTAGGGCAGAACAGGAAGAAAGAGATTAAGTGGCTGCTTCTCTTCTCCTATCATCTAGTTTTCCCGGAGTGTGTCTCATTAGCTGAAGCTCAGAAGACATTGCAAATAACACTGGGAAGCAGAGTGGAGTAATTGCAAAATGCTGGATTTATAGGTATGTGCCACCACGTCCCACTTTTCTAACCCATGCCCAAGCAGCAGGTCATGGCAAACTATGTAGCAAAGTAAATTTGTTCATGCCATAGCAACTAGGAAGCAAAGAGAGAAAGAGAGGAAAAGGAGGGGCTGGTGTTCCCATATCCCCACCGCCAAGAACCTAATCTTCTCCAACTACAACCCATCTCCTAAAAGTCCTTTCTTTCCCAAAAGGAAGCCTTCAGCAAAACAGCCTTTGAAAGATGCTTCAGATTCAAACCCAAACATCATGTCTTCCTTCTATCCAGTTAGACCTTTGGCTTAGCTACAGAGGCAGAATAAGTGTCTGTGAACCTTTCTGGACAGAAGTAAATAATCCATGCTCTCCAAACCAGATTTATGATGATCTACAGAGATTTTTTTAAAGCCTCTTTTATTGGTATATAGAGTCTGCCCTTTCATTCATTTGGAAGATATTGGATGTCATGAAATTTTTTGTAAATGGAAGCATTTCTGAAAAATTTTAATATAGCATCTTTACTACTCTGTCACCATTAGGATCAAGCATTAATATGCCACAAATAAACTAAATATACTGGCTTAATACATATTAGGTCTAACAGATCAAGAAGACTTGGGTCAAGTGACTTTTACTAAATAAAGAATGAATAGCACTGAGAGCAACAAAGCCACATCCTGCCTCTTATACCATTGAAGCCCAGCTTCCTCTAGTGCAAATCCCTTATTGAAATGTAAAAATGCTTTCTAAATCTCAGTATTATATGCATATAAGGTATGAAAATCATTAAATTCCTTGTTTCCCTAATTTTTAAAATTATGGTACATGGACCAGCTCCTTAAGTATTGCTGGTGTATGGAACTGTGCCAATATCCCAGCTAAAGAAATTCATTTCTGTCATAAACAGCACAAATACTACTCTTATTACTGACTAAATACAATATATTCATTGCCCGGTACTGCTAGGCAGTTTGAAATTTCTTGCTCTTTTCTTGTTTGTTTCCTTGTAACCTTTGAAGCAGTTAATATTATTAACCCAATTTTTTGGAATTCTAAAGGACAAATTATATCTAATTTTTTCATCCTTTCAGAAACAAAAAAAAACTATTGTTTTTTTAATCCAATGGAACATTACTCTTCCACAAAGAAGGATAAATCTGAGACATTTCTAAATAAATGGATGCAACATGAGACCATACTGAAGTGAATTGAATCAGTCACACATGTTTAAATATCAGATCTTTTCTCCAACATAGGACAATGAGATAACAATTAATGACCAAAGTATAAAATAGGCACTGTGAAATAGCAAGGAATGTTTCAAAGGAAAAAGGAACCTGTCAGAGGAGGGGATGGAAAAGAAAAAAAAATGAGAAAAGAAGCATAAAATAAAGCTTCATAAAGAAGGAATGGAAGAGGGGCTGAAGGGAGGGAAAAACAAATAGGAATCAAGGCACAAACACACAGGTAGGAAATCATTAGCTTGATGTCATCATTCCATATATCTAAGTTATAGCAATCAATTTAATTTTTATAGAAGAATCTCAGCAATGTGTTTCATCAGATTACATGGTGAAATTTGCTAAACTTCAGATTTTTTTCAGTTTGGCTGTGAAGCTGCTTAGAAGTAAGGCAGAAGATATCAGCCATATTGTACAGATGAGAACAGTAGCTCAACAGAACATGAGTCAGAACCACAAAGCAAAGCCAGTGAGCAGCACAGCCAGCATTTGGAATCATGAAGATTAGCATCCACGGGTCCTCAGCCATTGTGCTGCATACAGGGGAGTCTGAAGTCAAAAGTTAACGCTTTGGAGCCCAGTCGGCTCCTGTAACAGAATACGGAGAAGTAAGGGCTCCCACCATGGTGTCATGGGCTTCCAGGGGCTCCATGGGAACCCAATGCATGGGATTCCACATTCAAACAACAGTTACACCGTTCCCAAGGTATGGGGAACCAGTCCCTTCATCTTAAGAACCTGCCCTGGTAGGAGATGGAACGTCTTCTACCAGGATGTTCTCCTAGACAGAACCAGGGGTGCTAATGGGGCTCTAAGTGACTGCACCTCCAGTCTGTGCAGTGACACATTTCACTAAGGGAACGAATATCTCCTGTCTCTCTGATGCACAGGCATTCAGCATCTGCAAGGCAAACACACACATCATTTTTCAGCCCTATCCCTTGTTACACTAGAAAAAAATGAGAGAAGACACGTAACTTATTTTTTTTTTTTTTTGTTGGAGGACTTTTTCACTGTGCCTATGCCCAGGGAACCTTTAGGACACTCGGGAGGCTCATAAAAAGGGAAAAATGCATGAAGATAACAGGAAAGGGCTGTGTAGGCAGGCAAACAGCAAGCCCACCTCCCACATCCCTATGTGAGTGAGCATGTGGGACTGAGTGGCAGAGGGAAGTCCAGAGATGCTGCTGGGAAGCTACAGGTCATGCTGCACCTGGAGAAGGAATTCAGTTTCATTCAAAGTGCTGAGAAGCCTTGATGGCTCCCAACAGGTGAAGCACAGAACCCAAATGGTGCTCTGGAAGGACCACACTAGAAATCACTTGTAGGTCGGCAGGAAAGACTGTGGCCAGTGAGGCTGGTAAATCACTTTCCTTAAAGCTGTCAGCATGCTGGGAGGGGCTTCTACCGTCAAACTCACATGATGCTGGGAGTCTCAGATTTTAAATGCTGTGTACCCAACAGGGAAGGTAACAGTTTCTTTACTGTTATTGGTATCATATAAAGGAAGCACTGTGTTTTCTTGACCTCAACCAATTTAGCAGCTGCAACACTTTGTATCACCTCATCCAGGCTTGACTGTGCACCTAGAGGGGCAGAAGCAAGGATAACCAAATGAAGCAGGCTTTAGCAACAGACAATCTGGCTCCTATCATCGCCACTTACTAGGAGTGTGATCAGTTCACTCTCTGAGCATGCTTTCTTTTATGTAACATAAACAATCCTGAAAAATCTTTCAGTTACTGGGCAAAGGAAGATTGATGTTGAAATCCTAGCAACCAATCTTACCTTTGTACATCTCTGTTAAGGAACTGGTCAAATACTACTTCATTTTATCTTCCTAAAGACACTATGCTGTAGGGTTTTTGTTTTTATTATCCTCATTTTTATAAATGAAGACACAGAAGAAAATTTAAGTCGCTTGGTTACCAGTGCTTAAAAAGGGGCTGAACCAGGAATCAGCTTTCAGTGTTACTAGGGAGAGCAGGATCATAGCCCCAGCAGCTGGACTTCGTGGCCCTAAGGAGCCCTGTGGAGCAATGAGTTGCTGTTACTACTCCAGGAATGAGAGGCCTGAGGGAGAGCTCTGTTCTCACATCCAGGCACCCTGGGGGCCCATGTGTATATCATGAATCCTCAGCTAAGGAGAAAGTCCCTTATCCAAAGTTTCTGGCATCTGAACACTACCTGCAGCATTTAAAGCCCACACCTTTCGTGTGGGTGGCCAAATAGAAGGACCAAGCACTAGGAGGAAGTGAAAGTTTGAGGGGAAGGTGCTCAGGATGGGAGGTGACCCTACCCTAATAGCCAACACCCCCCTCACTTTCCTTACTTTGGATTTGCAAATGTTGTTTCCAGTTGATGACATCTGGTTTTTCAAGGAATTCTTGACAGTTCTTGGGGTCCTTAGAAAAGATTTGGTAGGTGTTGGTGTAGTGATCAAGGTCATCGATCATCTCCTGTGAGGTTTGGCAACATGGTATTAATCAAACCAGTTATAACAAGACATTTCAATATTTGTTACGTAGCTTTTATGATCGTAGTACTTTCCAAAGTGAAATTATGTTTGGTTCACATATTTTTATTTATACTAAATCATTTATGTCAAAAAAAAAAAACAATGTCAACTACTCTATTTGCTTTATGTTTTAAAAAATCTTGTCTGGTTAATTATTTATGTGTTGCATTACAATTTAATGTGAAAAAAATGTGCACTGGTTTAAGTAGAATTCCTCCATGATTTTCTATTCTTCCAGAGAAACAAAAAAATAATAGTGTCCAGGGAAATCTTTAATTGCAAGACTAAATACTATTCTGTTTCAAGGAGATTCACAACAAATTATTATGTTGTGAAATATGACAGTATTGAAATTGATGCAGAAGACTTGGTAGTATTAGAACTTCAATTCCACATCCGAAACTGTTGTCATATCAGGAAAACAGAATGAATATAAATAAACAACATGATATTACACCTCAAACACCTAGACAAAGAAGAGCAAGTCCAGCCCCGGGCCAAAAGAAGAGAGGAAATTATAAAAATCAGAGCAGAAGTTAATGCAATAGAGACTAAGAAAACAATCCCAAGAATCAATGAATTAAAAAGTTGGTTCTTTGAAAGGATAAGTATAGTGGTTAAGCCCCTAGCCAAACTTATTTTTAAAAAGGGAAGAAAAAGCTCTAATTCACACAACAAGAAATGAAAAAGGTGAAATCACTACACACTCCGTAGAAATACAGAAGATCATCAACACATATTTTGAAAACCTCTACTCTCATAGGTTTGATAACACAGGAGAAACAGAGATTCCTAGAAACATGTGAAGTAACAAAGCTAGGTCAAGGAGATGTAAAACTGCTGAACAGGCCAATCTCTATTAATGAAATTGAAAGTGTAATTAAGTCCTTACCTATAAAGAAGAACCCAGGCCCAAATGGATTCATGGCAGAATTCTACAAGAAGTGCAAAGAAGATTTTGTACTGCAACACTCCTCAAACTCTTCAGTGAAATTGAAAGGGAAGCAATCCTTCCTAAGTCATTGCTGGAAGCAGATAATACTCTAGTAATAAAACCTGAGAAAGACCCAACTAATAAAGCAAACTACAGACAAATTTCCCTAATGAAAACAGATGCAAAAGTTTTCAATAAAATATTGGCAAATAGGATGCAGAAAATTGTCAAGAAGGTTACACACCATGACCAACTGGGACTCATCCCAGGGATGCAAGAATGCTTTAAAAATACATTAATCAATAAATGTAACCCAACATATCAACAAAACCAAAAGTAACAATCACATGACTATTTTCATAGATGTAGAAAAGCTTTTGATAAGATCAAACATTCATTTATGATAACAACCTTACAGAAAATTGGAATAGATGCTCTTTACCTCAATATAATAAAGGCCCCCAAGACAAACCAACAAGCAGTACCATACTAAATGGCCAAAATTTGAAGGCCTTTATTTTAAAATCAAGCACAACACAAGGATGTCCCTTATCACCGCTCCTATTTAATATAATAGTGGAAATACTGGTCACAGCAATTAGACAAGACAGAAATAAAGGTGGTAAAGATAGGAAAAGAAGAAGTAAAATTATCATTATTTGTAGATGACACGATACTCTACATAGAATACTCCCTAAATTCCATTGAAAGACTCTTAGATATAATACATGAATTCAGCAATGTACCTGGATACAAAATCAATACTCAAAAATCAATAACATTCCTATACACTAACAACAAGGTCACAGTGAGAGAAATAAGAGAAACCACACCCTTCACACTAGCAACCAAAAAGTGAACTATTTAGGAATTACTCTGATGAAAGAAGTGAAAGACCTTTACAAGGAAAATATGATACACTGAAAAAGAAATTGAAGAGCATCTCACAAAGTGGAAAGACATCCTTGCTCATGGATAGGAAGAATAAATACTGTGAAAATGGCCATTCTCCCAAAACTCTTATACAGATTCAATGCAATCTCAATAAAAATAACATCAATATACATCACATATCTAGAGAAATCACTCCTAAAATTCATCTGGAGCAAGAAGAAACGTACAATAGCAAAGACAGTTCTAAGCAGCAAAGGCAAGGCAGGAGGCATCACAATCCCTGACTTGAAGTTATACTACAAAGCATCTGTAGTAAAATCAACATGGTACTGGAATCAAAACAGACCTGAAGATCAGTGGAATACATTGGAAGACACAACTACAACTGCATACAATTCAGCCACTTTATCTTTGATGAAAAAGTTAAAAGCCTTGAGTGGAAGAAATATAGTCTCTTCAATAAATGGTGCTGGAAATACTGACTCCCTCTATGCCGAAAACTAAAACTAGACCTATGCTTATTACTGTGTACTAAACTTAGTCTAAATGGATCAAAGATCTAAATATTAAAACAGAAACACTAAATCTGTTGGAAGACAAAGTAGGTTAAAATCTTGAAGACATAGGGGCAAGTAGAGAATTCATGAACAAGAACCAAACTGTATGAAAAATACTTCCCAGAATGTATAAATGGAATCATGTCCTTTTAAAGAGTTTTGCATGGTGAAAGAAATCTCTGGCATACAGAAAAGAGAACCCAAAAATTGGGGAAAATGGTCTGGGGACCATTACTGCATATTCCATCAGACAAAAGACTTATGTCCAGAACATATAGACAATTAAAAAATCAGATCCCCAAAATTCACAGACCCACTGCAAAAATGGGCATCTGAGATAAATATACAGTTCACAGAGGAAGAAATACAAATGTTAAATAAATACATGGAAAAATGTTCACCACCATTGGTCATTAGAGAAATGCAAATTAAAACCACACTGAGATTCCATCTCACTCCAGAAAGAATGGCCAGGACCAAGAAAACTACCAACAACAAATGCTTAACAGGCTGTGGCAAAAAGCAATTCCTCTGCACTGTTGGTGGGAGTATAGACTGGTGCAACCATTGTGGAAGTCAGTCTGGGGATGTCTCAAACAGCTGGGATTGGAAGTACCATTTGTTCCAGCTATTCCACTTCTAAGCATGTTCTGAGAAGAACCAAAAGCATCATACCACAGTGATATATGTGCACCCATGTTTTTAGCAGCATAATTTGTAATAATCACATCTTGGAAACAACCTAAGTGTCCATCAACTGAGGAATGGATAAAAAAAACTTGTGGTATTTTTATAGAATGGAGTACAACTCAGCTATAAAGAACAATCACATTGAGATATTTATAAATAAATGGGCACAGCTTGAGACAATACTCATAAGTGAAAGAAATCAAACCCACATGTATTAAATGCCAAATAGTTTCCCTAGTATAAGAAATGGTAAGAATACATAAAAGTGTGTGATAATCATGCTTCCCCATTATATTGTTTTAAACCTTATAATGTTTTCATTCATTAATTGGAATGATTTTATTCTGGGCTGTTTGATTTTATTATCTGTGATGGTATTAGCAGCTGTTTTGAAGAAAACAAGACATCATAATAGCTAGTGCTGATGTAATATCATCTTGTCTTGAAGTCAAGATTTTGTTCAAGCTTTTGTTCTTCTGTCTCCATGGGTCTTAAAATGTATATTATTCGATTTTATTATGTATGATAGTACAAACAAAACTTTTCTAGACAAGTAGATAATATAGAAACCATTGTTCATTTTCTTTTAGTTGGCTCTAAATACCCTGTAATACTGTCATTCTCTTGAATGTTTTACATTGTCTTGATATGTTTGATGCTGCAGTGTATGAAGTTATACTCAAATGTTCCAAGGAAAGAGGCAACATGGTAACTACTGTTATGTCAGGATATCTTGTGGTGAAACACTATGTTGCTTAAATTTTTATGTTCTGACCTGAGCTGTTGTGTTATTATTTCCTCTTTTATCTCAATCTCCTTTTTTATTATTTATTTATTTGTATTTTTATTTCTTTAGTTAAGAGAAAAATGAATTTAAAAATAGCAGGATATATTATAGTAACCACTTTGACTTCTTTCTAACTTGATTTGAAGCCCTGTATTGCTCTCACCATCTTCTATTGCCTGATTTTACTCTATTCTGTTTTGCTTGATAGTATCAAGTTTGAGGGTATGGGCAACTACTTTGAAGACAGTAAGATTCACCATGATGCCCATTCAGGTTTGACTATTATCTTCTTTTGAGGTCCAGTAATGTCTCCATTGTTTCACTTTTATTGGTTTTGTTCTGTACTGTTTTGTTCAATTTTATTATGAATGATGATATAGGCAATTCTTTTTAAGATAGCAAGAGGCATTATGACAACATTTGTTTGTCACCTTCTATTCTGTTTTTACATCATGTACTATGTCCATCCTTTTGATTTGAATGACTCTTTTTGTTATGTCACATTTGGTTTTATGCTTTTCAAAAACAGTAATAAAAACTGAGAGTAATAAAACCCAAAATGTGTAATTGTTATTGTAAAAAGGAGAGGAAAAGAAAATGCCTTAAAGGATACATCTGCATGTATATTTAACTGTACAAGATAGATAACCATATTACTGAGTTTTAGTTGGATCATTGAACAGAACTGTTTGTAATCTTGCTGTTTGTCCTCTTTGTATGCTTTAATTTTGTAACTTGAACAACTATTTCTAAGATGACAATATGTAATCTATCAAGTAGTGATTTTTCACTTTGAAATTCTATATTACTTGTACCTTTTTCTGTTTTTTTCTTTTCTATTTAAAAAAATTTTTTAAAAATGCAATATGATTTTCATTTTTTGAATTTTAACAATTATTGTAAATTTCTATATTTGTTCCTCTGTGTTGTTTTATAGTTTTTAATAAATAATGATACGTATACAGTGTATGACACGATGTCACAAGGGACATACAGGTAATAAAAGAGTTACTGAGCAGGTTGCTACAAAATAATTACTGGTACTGTGCAGAAAATTAAAAGATCCATCACATATTATT